GTGTTTTACCTTTTTCAAAAATCATGTCACCATAGACACATGGTTTTATTTCTAGATTCTCAATTCAAGTCCACGGACCTATATGTCTATCCTTATGCTACTACCACACTATCTTGATTACTGTTGCTTCGTAAAAGCTTTCAAATCAGGAAATGTGAATCTGACAACTTTGTTGTTCTTCTTCAAAATTGTCTTGGCTATTTGGGGTCATTTGTAATCCTATACAAATTTTGGAATCAGCTTGTCAATTTCTACGAAGAAGTCAGCTCTGGGATTCTGATAGAAATTGCTTTGTATCTATACATCAATTTGGGAATATTGCCATCTTAACAATGGCAATTCTTCCGATTCATGAACGTCAGATGTTCTTTCATTTATTTAATCTTCTTTAACTTTTTTCCACAATGTTTTAGAGTTTCAGAAGTGTACATTGTTCACTTCTTTTGTTAAGTTTGTTCCTTCATGTTTTATTCTTTTTGAAGCTATTGTAAATGGATTTTTTTTAAAAGAATGTATTTTTGGATTACTCATGAGAAAGTACACAAATACAATTGATTTTTGTGTATTGATCTTATGTTCATCACCTTGATGAGCACATTTATTAGTCCTAGTAATTTTGAGCAAAGTCATTAGGATTTTCGATATACAAGATTGTATTACCTATGAAACGTTAGTTTTACTTTGTCCTTTCCAATATGGATGACTTTTCTTTTCGTCTAACTGCTGTAGCTATTCTATGTTGAATGAAAGCGGTGAGAACAGACATCTTTGTACTCTTATTAATCTTGGGGGGAAGCATCCTGTCTTTCATCATTAATTACAATTTTAGCTGTGAGTTTTTTCATAGATGCCCCTTATCAGGGTGAATAGATTATCTTCTATTCCCAGCCTGTTGAGTGTGTTTAATCATAAAATGATGTTGGGATTTGCCAACCCCCTCTTCTGCATCTATTAAGATGATCTTGTGGATGTTGCTTTTTATTCTATTGCTGTGGTGTTTTTCATTAGTTGATTTTTGGATGGTACACCAACCTTATATCCTAGGATAAATCCCACTTGTAATGGTGCATCATTCTTTTCATCCATTGCTAGATGTGGTTTGCTAGTATTTTGTTGAGAATTTTTGCATCCAAATTCATGAGATAATGTTCTTTGATTTTCTTGCAATGCCTTTGTCTAGTTTACTCTTAATCTGGTTAGTACCAGACACATAGAATGAGCTGGGAAGTGTTCCTTCCTCTTCTATTTTTTGGAAAATGATTATGAATTATTGGTATTAATTCCTTAATGTTTGATCAATTTCAGTGGTGAAGCCAACTGGGCCTGGACTTTTCCTTATGGGTAGTTTTTTACAAAGGTATATCAGCTTTTATTTTAGATTCAGGGGGTACATGTTCAGGTCTGTCATAGAGGAACACTGTGCAACACTTAGGTTTGGAGAACAGATGATCCTGTCACTCAGACAGTGAGCACAGCATGCAGTAGGCTGTCTCTCAGTCCTCGCCTACCTCCTGCCCCTCCCACTCCTGCAGTCCCCAGAATCCATTGCTTTCATCTTTATGTCCTTGTGTACTCAGTGTTTAGCTCCCACTTGTGAGAACATGCAGTATTTGGTTTTCTGTTACTGTGTAAATTTACTTAGGATAATGGTCTCCAACTGCATTCATATTGCAGCAAATAATATGATTTCCCTCTTTTTATGGCTGCATAGTATTTCGTGGTGTATGTGTACCCCATTTTCTTTATCCAGCCCACCATTGATGGGCACCTAGGTTGACTCCATGCCTTTGCTATTGTGAATAGTGGTGCAATGAACATACAAATGCATGTGTCTTTTTGGTAGAATAATTTATTTTCCTGTGCGTATTTCTCTAGTAATGGAATTGTTGGGTCGAGTGCTGATATAAGTTCTTTGAGAAATCTCCAAACTGCTTTCCACAGTGGCTGAATTAACTCATATTCTCACCCACAGTGTGTAAGCATCCCCTTTTCTCTGCAGCCTCTTCCGCATCTTTTTTTGTCTGATTTTTAGTAGTAGCTAGTCTGACTGGTATGAGATGTAGTAATAGCAGCCAGTCAGAATGGCTGCTACGAAAAGGTTTTGATTTGCAGTTTTGAATTGCATTTCTCTACTGATTAGTGATGAACATTTTTCATATGCTTGTTGGCTGCTTGTAGGTCTTCTTTCGATAAGTGTCTGTTCATGTTCTTTGCCTACTTTTAAATGGGGTTGTTTTTTGGGTGTTGATTTGTTTAAGTTCCTTACAGATTCTGAATTTTAGACCCTTATTGGATGCAGTTAGCAAATATATTCTCCCATCAGTTGGTTGTTTACTCTTTTTATTATAGTTTCTTTCACTGTGTGGAAACTCTTTAGTTTAATTAGATACCAGTTGCCAATTTTTGTTTTTGTTGCAATTTGCTTTTGAGAATTTAACCATAAATTCTTTGCCAAGGCTTGTGTCAAGAAGGGTATTTCCTAGGTTTTCCTCTAGGATGTTAATACTTTCATGTCTTACATTCAAATGTTTAACCCACCTTGAGTTAATTTTTGTATATGAATAATGGTAGGGGTCCAGTTTCATTCTTTTGCATATGGCTCACCACTTATCCCAGCACCAGTTATTGAATAGACTGTCTTTTCCTGATTGCTTATTTTTGTCAGCTTTGTTGAAGATCAGATGGTTGTAGGTGTGTGGCTTTCTGTTCAATTCTGTTCCATTGGTCTCTATGTCTGTATTTGTACCAGTACTATGCCATTTGGGTTCCTGTAGTGTTATAGCAGAGTCTGAAGTTGGGTAGTGCGATGCCTTCAGCTTTGTTCTTTTTGATTAGGATTCCATTGGCTATTCAGGTTCTTTTTTAGCTCCCTGTTAATTTTAGAATATATATTTTTTCTAATTCTGTGAAAAAATTATCTTGGTAGTTTGTTAGGAATAGTGTTGAATCTATAGATTGCTTTGGATAGTATGGCCATTTTAATGATATTAATTCTTCCAATCCATGAGTATAGAACGTTTTTTCATTTGTTTGTGTCATCTATGATTTCTTTCAGCAGTGTTTTGCAGTTCTCCTTGTAGAGATCTTTCATTTCCTTAGTTAGATGTAGCCCTAGGTATTTTATATTTTTTGTGGTTATTGTAAATGGGATTGCATTATTGATTTGTCTCTCAGCTTGAATGCTATTGGTGTATAGAAATGTTACTGATTTTTGCACATTGATTTTGTATCCTGAAACTTGACTGAAATCATTTATCTGTTCTAAAATTCTTTTGGTGGAGTCTCTAGGGTTTTCTAGGTATAGAATTATATCATCAGCACAGAGACAATTTGACTTCTTCTTTTCCTATTTGGGTGCCTTTTTTTCCTTCTTTTGCTTGATTGCTCTGGCTAAGACTTTCAGTATTATGTTGAATAGGAGTGGTAAGAGTGGTCATCCTTGCCTTGTTCATAAGGGGAATGCTTCCAGTTTTTGCCCATTCAGTATGATGTTAGCTGTGGATTTGTCATAGATAGCTCTCATTTTGAGGTATGTTCCTTTGATGCCTAGTTTGTTGAGAGTTTATATCATTAAGGGATGTTGGATTTTATCAAAAGCCTTTTCTGTGTCTATTGGATGATCACATGTTTTTTAATTTTGTTTATATGGTGGATCACATTTATTGACTTGTGTATGTTGAACCAACCTTTCATTCCAGGAATGAAGTCTACTTGGTCATAGTGAATTAACTTTCTGATGTGCTGCTGGACTCAGTTTGCTAGCATTTTTTTTTGAAGATTTTTGCATCTATGTTCATCACAGATATTAGCCTGTTGTTCGTTTGTTTTTTTTTCATATGTCTTTGACAGGTTTTGGTATCAGGGTGATGCTGGCTTCATAGAATGAGTTAAGGAGGAATTCCTCTTCCTTGATTTTTTGTAATAGTTTTAGTAGAATTGATACTAGCTCTTCTTTGCATATCTGGTAGAATTCATCTGTGAATTCATCTCATATGGGGCTTTTTTGATTGGTATGTTTTTTATTACTGATTCAATTTTGTAACTCAATATTGGTCTGTTCAGGGATTCAATTTCTTCCTGATTGAATCTCGGGAGGTTTTTTCCACAAATTAATCCATTTCCTCTACATTTTCTGGTTTGTGTGCATAAACATGTTTATAATAGTGTCTCAGAATATTTTGTATTTATGTAGGATTGGTTGTAATGTCACCTTTGTCATTTCCGAATATCGTTATTTGATCTTCTCTCTTCTTTGTTAATCTAGCTAGTGATCTATCAATCTTATTTATCCTTTCAGAGAACCAACTTTTGGTTTCATTGATCCTTTGTGTGAATTTTTGGTTCTCAATTTCATTCAGTTCTACTCTGATTTTAGTTATTTATTTTCTTCTAGTAGACTTCGGGTTAGTTTGTTCTTGCTTTTCTAGTTACTCTAGGTGTGATGTTAGATTATTAATATGAGACCTTTCATGTTCTAAACATTCAAAGAAATTTCTCTAACAACAAACTACAAAAATGATCCCTGAAGGTACAGTCTTAGTTTTTTTAAAAATTACAAATTCAATCTTTTTATTTGTATGTGTCTACTCAAATTTGTTTCATCTTGTCAGTTTCAATAGTTTGTGTCTTCCCAGCAATTTATCCATTTCATCTAAGTTATCTAATTTAGTGGCATACAATTGGTTTTAGTATCCTTTATGAACCTTTTATTTGTGTAAGATTGATGGTAATCTCCCCTTTTCCATTTCTGATTCTAGTCATTTAATTATCCTCTCTTTGTTTACTTGGTTAATGAAGCTTAAGTTTTGTCAATTTTTTAATCTTTTCAAGGAACCATCCTTTGGTTTCATTGACTTTCTCTATTATTTTTGTATTCAATATTTCACTAATTTCTTATTTAATCTTTATTGTTTCCTTCCTTCTATTTGCTTTGCTTTTTAGGCTTAGTTTAATGTACTTTTTTCAATGTCTTAAGATGAAAGTTTAGAATATTGATTTGGGTCTATAGCCATACCACCCTGAATGTACCCGATCTCATCTGATCTCAGAAGCTAAGCAGGGTCGAGCTTGGTTAGTACTTGGATGGGAGACCACATGGGAATACCAGGTGCTGCAGGCTTTTGGCTCTTCCACTCCCTGCCTTCTTGAAAAACTTATATATATAAAGAGAATATTGATTTAGGATCTTTCACTCTAAACTGCCTGTCTCTTAAACTTTCTTTTATATGTTTCATTTGCTTTTGTTTTGTGTCAAGTTATGCACAATATCTTCAGATCTATCTACCACTTCACCAATTGTCTTTTCAACTATCACTTATCTCTTTTTTTTATATATAGCTATTCAGTTTCTTCTTTCAACCACCACCATCTTTTTATCTATAATTTCTATTAGGTTCTTTTTCAAATTTGCCTAGGCATATTTAATAGTGCTTTTTCCTTTGATATTTTAAAATCCCAACTTTAGTTGGTTTAAACATTTTACACAGTTATTTTATACTCTAAAAATATATATCTCATAATTCCAACATGTGCAGTCATTAGGAGCTCTAAATCTTTTGTCTACGGCTTCTACTGACTCTTGTTCTTGAGCTTCCTTCCTTAGATGCTTCACACATCTTAATTGTGAACTCATATCTGGCAGAACTGAATCTGTGAGAATATTGGGAAGACTGAGATGAGGATATTTTCCTCCGAGGAGGATTTTCACTTGTTTGGTTTTGGCACTGTGTGGTACTGATAAACGGAGACCACTGTCATTTAATTTTTCGACTTGAGGATTTAACAGTTGCACACATGTTCACATTCAAAGCCCAGATTCATATATAGACAAATTTAGTGGCACAAATTCTCATGAGAGACTCTTTCACCCTGTTTCCTTGGTAGAGATCAATTTCTTGTTTGCTCTTTTTGTTACACAGTCAGGGAGCTTTTCTTCTAGCCTACCCTTTCACAGAGAACAAGGTGCTGCGAAGGTCTTAGATTTACATGCACATGGGGATTTCCTCCCACCTCCTCACTCGCAGGACTCCAGCCTCACTGGGTTTGTTACAGTTTCTAAAACATCCTGAGCACTGTCCCGCCTCATGGCCTTGACATATATGGTTTCCTCTGGCTGAACGCTCTTACCCCAGAATCCCACATCCAAAGGCCTTAGCCACTTCTTTTGTATTTCTGCCCCAAAATCATGTTTTCAGCAAGGCTTTCTTTGATGACCCTCAAAAAAAAAAAAAAAAAAAAAAAGCATGCTCTACTACTCTCTGCCCCCTTCAGTCTAGTTTATTTTTTTCCACAGCATTTATCAACATTGTGTGAAAACACCTATTGTGTGTTTCTTCCTCTCTGTCTACCATCACTAAGGTAAAAACTCCTGTGGACTGGGGATTTTTCTTATTCACCACTGTATTGCCGCTGCCTAGAACACAGTGTGTAGCCAATATATATATATTTTGAATGAATACATATGTGCCTTTAGGAATGAATGAATGAATGGCAAGGCTAGGAGTGGGAGTAGGACAGCATGAAACGACTGGTTATAGCAGAAAAGGAACAGGTGCAGAGAGAGCAAGATACCATGAGGAAAGGAGGCACCAGGCACGGTGCTGTGTACCTGCAGTTCCAGCTACTCAGGAGATGGAGGCAGGAGGATCCTTTGAGCCCAGGAGTCTGACCGCAGCCTGGGCAACACGTGAGACTCAACCCCTTAAAAAAATAAATCAGAAAAGAAATGAAATAAATAAAAAAAGAAAAGAAGAAGGCAGGGACAGTTCTCCCACTTGGCAATTTTACTTAGGCCCTTCAGGGGCCGCCGATGCCCTTGGCCCTGGCTTCCTCTCTCATCTCCTGCATTAGTTTCCTTCCTGAACGTCCTGAAGGTGGCTCTCAATAAGTACCGCGCGACTGACAGCTTACTAAAGTCATTATAAGAGGATTTCTTCTGCATTTCTCAGAAAAACGAAATCACTTTCTAGATTGCTTTGTTGGGCAGGCTTACCCCCGGAGCTGCCAGGGACGGAAGTCATGGGTACTCCCCATGCTCATGGTCAGAAGCTGGAAATTAATCAGAGGAGATGTGGCCCTTGTTAGGAGAGGCCTCTGCCAGTTTTCCATGTACAAAGCCACACAAGAAAAAGGCAGAGCCCAGTGAGATGGAACTTGGCTGGAATCTACAGTTTTGCTTTTTATTCAAAGCTATGAGAAAAAGTAATATAAGGCAGTTAAATATCCACTTTTATTGGTTATCGTCTTTACTTTGATTTGTGTGCTCACTGCTTTATATTTTCTGGTCCTTTGATTTCTGTGTACATATTTCGAGACACTGTTGACTACTTGGATGTAAACTGAAGAAGAGAAAAACCTATTTACCTATTAATCAGCTATACCTTAGGCAAAATATTCAGTCATACTACGGGTCACATATAGTGGAGATTAAATACTCCACTATATGTGACTCCAAAGAGGGAGGAAGGAAGTAGCTGATTTTTAGCCCCTGCTGTGATAACCAGAGACTATCAATCAGAGAGCGGCAGACTTGGAGGAAAAAGTTCTCCAGCCTGCATTTTATGTGCAAGTTACTCATTTGCTGCCGAAAGACAAGGATTAAAGCTTTTCAGCACAGGAAAGAAAACGTACCCACACTTTTGAGTCCTTCCTGAAGTTCTACATTTTCTTGGGTTTGTGTAGTAGCACTTAGAACAGAGCTATCTGTGAACGCCGAATATCCGAGATAGGTCTCAGTTAATTTAGAAAGTTTATTTTGCCAAGGTTGAGGACGTGCACCTGTGACACAGCCTCAGGAGGTCTTGATGACATGTACCCTCGGCGGTTGGGGTAGAGCTTGCGTTTATGCATTTTAGGGAGACATGAGGCATCAATCAGCAGATGTAAGATATATATTGGTTCCATCCAGAAGCGCAGGACAGTTCAAGCTCAGAGGGAGCTTCCATGTCACGGATTGGTGAGAGACAAACAGCTGCATTCTTTCAAGTTTCTGTTAGCCTTTCCGAAGGAGGCGATCAGATATGCATTTATCTCAGTGTGCAGAAGGATGACTGAATGGAATGGGAGGCAGGTTTGCCCTAAGCAGTTCCCAGCTTGACTTTTCCCTGTAACTTAGTGATTTGGGGGCCTCAAAACACAATTTTCCTTTTATATATCTAAAGCGAAGGCAACATAAATGTAAACTATATATGTCTGAAAAGCTAAGCTTTGAAAATTGAAGGTATACATGACTGAAATGTCCTCTGCAATACATAGATCAGAATGCAGACCGTGTGCTGCAGACACATGTGGATTGGCACAGGACGTGGACTGGCGTGGCCTGTGGTTTACGTGGAATGCAGTCGCACCTCAGCAGACCACCTCTTGAACAAAGGCAGGGACTGGCAGAGCTGCATATTGAGAGAAGGGTGTTGAGGTAGGACACTTTGAGCAGCAAATGATAGAAAATCAACCCAAACCACGTTAAACGAAAAGAATGATTTAGCTGAAGAACACAGAGGTGGCTCAAAAGACCATCAGCAGGACTCAGAGCCACGCTGGGTTCCAGGAACTGGAACCAGGACTCCAAACAGTGTCAGCTCACCCCGCCCCCCAACCTCTTTCTCCTTTGCTCCACTTAAGCTTCCTTCTCTGCTAATAGAGACGGGCATTCTCTGCCCAGCAGGAAATGTAGCCAGCAGCAAGTGACAAAGTCACATCCTGAAAGACTTGCAAGCAGAGATGAAAAGATAACTTTTCTCAGTCTCAGCTTGAAAGATCACAGGGAACGGCTCAGACTCCCCAGACTGAATTTTTATCCCATCTTTTGAGTGATCACTGCGAGCGAGGGGGTGGGCTTGATGTTCACCCACCCTGGGTCATGTTCCTGTCAGTGGCCCCTAGTGAGCAGGTTCCATACTAGGACGTGGCTTAGCACAGACATGACCACTGGTACATTTGTGCTGGACAGCCCTTATGACAGGTCTCTGCAAGTCACCACCTTGGTCATTCCTAATACCTGACTAGGAAGAGAGGCGGGCAGTTACTATAAGAAGCCCAGCTTGGCCCGGAGCAGTGCTCATGCCTGTAATCCCAGCACTTTGGGAGGCCAAGGCAGGTGGATCACTTGAGGTCAAGAGTTTGAGACCAGCCTGGTCAACGTGATGAAACCCCATCTCTACTAAAAATACAAAAAATAACCAGGCATGGTGGCGAGTGCTTGTAGTCCCAGCTACTTGGGAGCCTGAGGCTGGAGAATCGCTTGAACTTGGGAAGAGGAGGCTGCAGTGAGCTGAGTTGGCACCGCTGCACTTGAACCTGGGCAAAGCAGCAAGACTCTGTCTCAAAAAAAAAGAACCCCAGCCTGGAGGTATCTGTGGGTGCAGCAGTCACATTGACTGAGTTCCCACTGCTAATCCACTACTTACTGGCCGAACTGTCTTTCCACATATCAGCTTCCTTGTTCATAAAATAAATATAATGCTGAGGTTGTTAATTGGGTTGAATGGTTTATTACATGTAAAGCCCTTGGAAAACAAGCTTGGAACAGGAAGGATTAGCAGTCGTTATTACTAACGTATATGTGGCTGAAATCAAACCGGAATGACAACCCATTCATAAGGACAATTTCCATGCTGTCTTACATACCCCATGCAGACTGTGGAGTCTGTAAAGTTACCTCCTATTCATCCTTTTTTGCTCACTATAAGCCATCCAGGCTTTCTGTGAAAAATGCTCTGAGGCTGCCCCCGTCTTTCCGGGGCTCTACTCCGTGGTGAGAGTCTTTTTCATTTTATGTTGCAAAGCAATTTATTCCCCAAATTCAGAATCCCTATAGAACTCCAGAGATAAAGCCTTGCTTGAATGCTCACGATGGGCAAAGCTTTGCTGATCAGGTAGGCCACCTCTCTGAGCAGCTTCCTGCTGCTCTGCAACAATGATCCTTCTCTGCCCTCAGTGGCTTCATGGCTTCTATTTGCTGTCGGACCCTCTTGTACGGATCATAGCCTTCTCATTCCTAATATATCCGATAGTGCATTTCTAAGGCCCAGTTTTACTTTCCCTCAGCTTGTTTTTTTCTTTGGAAGGGAACTCTTACGCTCTATTGGTGGAAGTGTAAATTACTTCGACCATTGTGGATAA